GATCCTGGGTAGCACAGAGAAGAATATTACTGATCTCCAGGGGTGCCAGGTTAGTGCAAACTGCCCTTAAATTCCATTTTGTGAAGCAGTTTGGTCTCTTGGATGACTGGAGGGCTTTAAAGCTTCACTGAGTTAATGTTTGTACAAACCTGGTGTAACATTTTTGGTTAGATCCATCTCTCTGAGAGTGATTCATTGTTAGGGGACTGTACTGGTGGCTCCAGAAGGATTTCATCTCACTAGGAATTTGCTTCCAAGAGAATTAGCACTAAAAAGAAGTGTTCTACCCATAGGTTAAGTTTGAGGGAACTTTTTCCAGAGGGCACAGAGAGACTCATGGCCCTGCAGGTATTAATTAGATTAGTTGGCTGGGAAAAAAACCTCTGTTGGCAATGTAGTGTTTTTTAATCAAACCTGAGAGGCTATGAAGTATTTATTCTATGCTTTGAGTGAAGATGTTGGTCTGTCTGGATATTTTTTTTTCCTTCCAGAAAAGGAATTTAGCTCCTACTCCTTCTGCTCCTCAGCCACGACTGTAGGATCTGCTTAGGGATGGAGAAAGAAGATCTGTTCATATGAGCTGTGCTTACCTAATGTCAATACCACTCTGCTATTTTTACAGACATTTGGCCCAGGAGAAGAATGTGGTAGCATCTGTGGGATCTCCAGACAGGAATGAAGATGTCAGCTCTGGAGCCAGGGAGGCAGAGGGATCGTGCCACTGTCCTGGGGTTATTCCTCACTGCCTCTCTCATTGTGACTGCCCAGAGTAAGTGAACAAATCCATCAGGATAAACTGAGATCCCTTGAAGGAAAACCTTCTCCTGGGGTTCACAAAACTTGGATCCTTTTCCTCATTGCCTTTTGAGAACATTTTAACCCTTTCCAATCAGAATCCTTCTTGCTTGGCCTATTTTTTGGTTTTTTCCTTTCTGTGGAAAACAGAGACAAAATTATTCTAGCTGTAAAAACTGCAATAATTTCTACTAAGTGGGGAGAGGAAATGCTTAATCTGGACTTTGTCACTCTGAAACTGCTGGTGAGGTGTGAGGAGCAGGACCTGGAGCAGTGATGCTCATCCCAGTCCCTGCCAGCCACAGCCATCCCTAGTCACAGGCTGCACTTCTCTTTCCTTCTGCTTTTGAGGAGTCTTGAGGCCTCTGAAGTGTCTTCCCCTGAATGTTCAGAGTGAATCAGGCCTGAATTCCCCCTCTTTTCCCTCCCAGCAACTTTCTGATGGTGTTTCTGTTGGCAGGTTCCTGTGGTGTCCCACCACGACTTGTCTCTGCAGAGCTGAAGGAGCAGTTCAGGAGCACTGTCAGCTTTGCCCACCAGGACAAGGTGGAATACATCTGTCGTCCAGGTTATATAAAAACTGTCAGTGGTGAAAACACCTTGGTTTGTGGGGCAGATGGGACTTGGTATGGACGAAAGGACTTCTGCACACGTGAGTACAGTTTGGGTTGACTTGGTCTTTCTGGTCTAGTGGAAGATGTCCCTGCTCAAGGAAGGGAGTTGAAACTAGTTGTTCTTTAAGTTTCCTTTCAACCCAAACCATTCTGTGGTTCTCTGATTTTGTTTGTTTGATGCTATCAGCTCCTTTTGTCGGAGCAATATCCAAAGTGACCCCATGGGATGGTGGGAGATGAGTGACCTGACTCGAAGCACAGGTTTAATTCTGCTCAGTACCAGCAACGATGGCAGGAGCTGAACTGAGCTCTGGTGCTGTTTCACTGCTGACTCAAAGGATGTTTGTACCTCTTGGTTCAAAACCAGTGCTTGACTTGCAGGAGGAGAATCCCTCAGCTGGGAGGAGATGCTGTTGTGCTCACCAGGGTTACTGCAAACCCCACTCAGGCTGCAGAGGCAGCAGCTCGTAACAGCATTGGGCAGCATGGAATAATTTAGGGTGGGAGGGGAAATCTGGAGGTCTCTGATCTATCCCCCTGCTCGGTATTGAAGGAATCTTTGGCTTTCCTGCCAAGAACCTGGAATAGGAGCTAACTGCAGTGCTGTTGTCCCCAGCCAAGCAATGTCCCCACCCTGGGGAACCAGCCAACGGCAGACTCAGCGTGGCACGAGAGTTTCTGTTTGGTTCATCTGTGAACTTCACCTGTGACACTGGGTAAGCCAGGAGCCCCCAGGACATGGGGCTGCTCCTCCAGCTATTTCTCCAGAGTTTTTCCCCTCTGTGTTAAAGCCTGTGCTGTCAGAATCCTCATCAGTGCAGTTAATTGCAGCCCACGGTTGAAATACCTTTAAGCTTTCCTTTGAGAGCTTGAAGAATGACTGAGTGTCTTCATCTCCTGCTTTGAGGCAGTTCCTCCCAAACTCAAGCTCACTCTCCTGCTTCTTTCTAAACCACTCCCAGTGTTTCAGTGTGTCTTGGAAGAAAAGACATGAATCCTGAACTCAGAGCTGTAGGGATAGTTACAGCCAGCTGATCAAGGAGATGTTTTTCCTTAGAAACAGGTCATTTTTTTTTCATTTAAAAGATGTTTTTCTCAAAAGCCAGTGTTTCCTTGGAAAAATGACACTGATGGCAAATTTCTGATCTGCTGTAGTTAGGACAAGGAAGCCCAAACCACCCTGATGGTGATGGTGGGGGGAATACATCCCAACTGAGTGTGTTGATTGCCTGTCTCACACAGGTACAGACTGTTTGGAAGTTCCCAGATTACATGTGTGCTTAAAGAGGAGGCTGTTACATGGGACAGAGGTGTTCCCAGCTGTGAGCGTAAGTAGAGTTCCTTAATTATCTGTTATCTCTTCCTTAATTACCTGGGATGTGAGTGGGGATGGATAAAGAAGCCTCTGTGTTGCTCTGCTGAGGATTTCAGCAGCTCAGTGCGTGGTGGGGGCTGGAAAGAAGTTTTTTTTCATTATGTTTTCCTTCCTGAATCATCCTGCAGAGAGATTTATTCACTCTCTGGGTGTAAAGCAGCTGCATGTGGCACTGGGATATCCCCAAACCCCTCAGTGCCCAGACACAGCTCCCTTGGGACCTGCCCTTGGTTTCTGACCCTTCTGGCACTTTGTGTTAAAACTTTTTTTTTTTTTCCTTACCAGTTCTTTCTCTCTTCTCCTTTCTTCCCACTACCATTCCCCTCTCCTTCTGCAGCAATACCCTGTGCACCCCCTCCAGGGATAGCCAATGGGGAGCACAGTGGGATGAACCAGGATGTCTATGTGTATGGAGACACTGTCACTTACCACTGCCACACTGTCAGGGGAGGGGAAATACCTCTCTCACTGGTGGGAGATGCCTCTATTTTCTGCACGACCACGGATGGTGTCAATGGTGTGTGGAGCAGTCCAGCCCCACAGTGTAAAGGTGAGTTGTGTGTGCTCACTCAGGGCAGCACAAACCATAGCCCTTCACCACCTCCTGCTCTGCTGAGCTGTCTCCTTCCTTGGAACCCTCTCCTTGGAATCACCTCTGGCAGTTGAAACCCTCTGAGTTTGGTAGCTGCAACAGCAATTAGGGTCTCCCATCACAGTCACCATGTCAACAAGGACGTGGGAATGGGATGTTATTAGCCTTCACAGACTAAACAATGTGCCTTTGCTGCTGCTCTGGGTGACATGTAACACCTGCAAAGAATCCTGAGACCTGCTGTGATACCTGCTGCCTTCCCTGGCTTCTTTTTATGCTTTAAAAGTGCTGTGAAATGGAGAAATAAGTGGAAAAATACCACGTCAGTTTCTGCCTCCCCATGTCCGTTTTCCACCTTGTTGGCAAATGTGTCTTACACGATGAGGATGTTCTCACCCCTCTTTCCTCCCCTCTTGAGCCTAACTGCTGCTTCCCTAAGTGCTGCTGTTTTCCTGGTGCAGTGGTGGTCTGTGAGTATCCAAGAGTGGACCATGGGAAGCTGCTGACTAGGTCCTCTGACTACACCTACGGAGTCACCGTCCTGTTCAGCTGTAACTTTCGCTTCACCATGCAAGGCAGTGAGACCTCCATGTGCAAGGAGGATGGTTCCTGGGACCCTCCCCCACCAACCTGCCAGCGCAGTAAGTGTGATGGAGCCAGCACTGCTCCCCCTGCTCCAGCAGCTTTGCTTCAGGGGGTTGTAAAATCGTTAAAGTTGGAAAACACCTTTGAGGTCATCGCATCCAACCTTTGACTGAATCTCACCATGGTCACTAATGTTTCCACTTGTCTAGGAAAGCATTAAGTTATGAGTGATGGGTTCAGGATTGAACTTTCTAGAATTATTTTTTGGCTGATCTGTCTAGCACTAAGGTGATTTTAGGAATTTAGGGCTTGGGGCTGTAGAGATTAAAGCCTTGTCCCACTGAGAGCAGTTCTCACTAGAATTCAAAGGGACTAAATTAACCTGTCTATATTTAGTATTTTTATAGTTCATTGGTAGAGCCTTAAAGTGATTCTTCCCCTGGACTCGGTGCTGGTGAGGCCACACCATGAATCCTGTGCTCAGTTCTGGGTCACTCAGCTCAGGAGGGACATTGAGGGGCTGGAGCAGGTCCAGAGAAGAGCAACGAGGCTGGTGAAGGGACTGGAGCACAAGTGCCATGAGGAGAGGCTGAGGGAGCTGGGGGTGTTCAGCCTGGAGAAGAGGAGGCTCAGGGGAGACCTTCTCACCCTCTGCAACTCCCTGACAGGAGGTTGGAGTCAGGTGGGGGTTGGTCTCTTCTCCCAGGCAACCAGCAGCAGGACAAGAGGGAATGGTTTGGGTTGGAAGGGACACCTTAAAGTCCATCTTGTTCCAACCCCCTGCCATGGGCAGGGGCACCTTTCACCAGCCCAGATTGCTCCAAGCCCCATCCAACCTGGCCTGGAACACTCCCAGGGATGGAGCAGCCACAGCTTCTCTGTGCCAGTGCCTCAGCACCCTCACAATATGCCCTTGTGACAAGTCTCTCTCCAGGGAGAAAATCCAACCTATGTCTTCATTAGTTTCCCTTACCATTCCTGGACCTGGATAATTAAGTGCATCTCAGAATGTTCAATGTGAGCCCACAATTTGGACCCAAATTCTCCCTCTTGTACCTCACGGATTTCCCACTGGCAGTGTCCCTAAACTGGTGTCTCACCCCCAGGTAGCTGTGATGACCCTCCACATGTGGCTAATGCTGATACACCCAACCTTGCTGACAATCTGTTCCCTGTGGACACTGTGGTCACCTACCAGTGCAGGAATGGCTACCAGTTCAGCATGGGAGAAACCATGAGGAGAATCAAGTGTCTGCCCAGTTTTACATGGAGTGAAATTCCACCAGCATGTGAAAGTAAGTGTGTCCTGTGGTACACTGACCTGTGATCTGGGCAAATGACTGCAGAGTGAAGGAGCTGCACATGGTCTGCTGTGGTGCAGAGAGTGGAGTGGGGGATGCTCCAGGGCCCCAGCTTGGCACCACACTGGTCTTTGCTGTGACTCTTGAATTCCTTTGATTTGTTTCCCAGCTGCAGAGTTTTCTTGGCTTTATTTATCAGCTCTACTTTCTTGAACCTCTGGAAAAAGCCATTGTGGTGTTGAGGTCCCTTTGCTTCATCCGAAAGGAGGTTGCATTGCAAACTTTCCACCTCCCAGGAGAGCCCATGGGATGGTTTTGGGGACAGATTTCCCATCCTGATGTGCCTTTGTCCTTCGAAACCTTCATCCTTCTGTTCACAACCAATCTCCTGTCACCCAGTTGGCTTTGCCATGGTTTCCCACCTGCTGATGTTTGGCATTTCTCAGGAGTTCATTGCTCCAGTCCACACATCCCAAACACAAAGCCCTCAAGCAGAAAAGCAATGGAATACAAGTATGGAGACACCCTGGAAGTTACGTGCGACGACGGATTTGTCTTCAAGGGTCGTGGCAGTAGCATCACCCTTTGGTGTAGAAGTGATGGTACATGGGATCCAGCAGCACCAGAGTGCATTGCAGGTGGGCCAGAGCTGATGGAGCTCATTGACTTGGCAGCTGTTTGTTTGACTGCAAATATTTGGGTCGCTCTGTGCAGTGTAGTTATCTGCTGACGTTCCCAGAAAGATCTACATGTGGCCTCAGGTGATGATAATAGAAGCCAAGGAGAATTTTTGCTCCACTGCTGTGTCCCCAGATCTAGTTCTCCTGTGTGAACTTGGCAGCAAAAGATCCAGATGGATGGGTCATTGCCTGGGGATTGCCTAGGAAGAATTGTTGGGTTTTGGCAGAGCTGAGCTAGTGTCTGGGGATGTGGGATGCAAAGGGTTGTGTGTGAGAAGCTTCTAGAGGCTTAGGAGGTTCCTAAGAAGCCTGAGAGACATTGACCCAGTGGGAAGGGGATGTGGTTTGTGCTTTGGGCTGGTTTGCTGACATGAAGCTTGGGAGCAGAGGATGTTCTCACTGGATTTCCCCTCTCAGAAGAAAATATAACAGCATGAATAACTCATGCTGCACCATAGCAATGTCCATGAGCTGCTGGAAGCAGCCTGAGCCCAAAAGCTCAGGAAAATCTTGCCAGGAGGGAAGAGCCTGCTCCACCTCAGAGGGCAGCCAACATTAGTGTGTGCATGATTCATTGTCCTGGCCCTTTAGAGTTACAGGGAATGAGACCTGAGAGTTGATTTTTGTTTCCCCAGGGTTCAGATTGCTTGGTAAGTGTCTTCTCCATAGAAAGCATCATCCCTGGAGTTCTTTGTGGAAATACATGACATCCTTTGTTTTCTGTTGTTTTCAGAACCTCATTGCCCAAAGCCAAATATTCCTCATGGAATAGAGATAAAAAAAAGCAAAAATGACTACACAGCTGGGACCCAGGTGGACTTGGATTGTGATGAGGGTTATGTCCTCAGGGGCTCAAGGTCCATCACGTGCCTGGCTGATAACACCTGGGATCATGTGCTACCCTTCTGTGACAGAGGTACGTGTGATGCAAAGATGAGAAGAAATCTTGTGCATTGCTATTGAGAAACAGCCATCAGTAGGTGATCTGCCTTCAGCATCTGCTCCTGGGGAATGGGGCAACGAGCATCAGCTCATGGGCTGAGCCAGGTGTCCTCTCCCTTGAGATGGAATCATAGAATCATTCAGGTTGGAAAAGATCTCCCAGGATCAAGTCCAGTCTTCAACTGAATTCCACCATGCCCACTAAACCATGAGCCCAATTATCACATCCACATGTGTTTGGAACACTTCCAGGGATGCTGAGTCCACCACTGGAAATATCCCAGTATTTCCTAATGTAGATGTGACCCAGGTGGGAGCTGAGCAAGAAGTGAGAGCCTTGAGCTCGTGGAAGAGGCAAACAGCCAGGCCACAGCTCCTTCTGAATTTGCCTCACAACAAACACAAAGTGAACTTTGTACTGTTTTCCCAGGAGCAATTCTGATTCTCACCTGAAGATCATAGCCATATGTTTCTTTTCTCATCACTTCCCTTTATCCCACAGCCTGTGGCCCTGCTCCAGGAATCTCCAACGGGCAGCACTCTGGCTTGGGTGTGAAGAATTTCCCCTATGGTGCAAATGTGACATACACCTGTCTGGAGGGTCTGTCCCTCATTGGGAACAAATCCATTTACTGCACCTCGGAAGATGGGGAGAACCTGACGTGGAGTGGACCTGCCCCAGAGTGCAAAGGTGAGTGGTTTCTCCTGTACAGGATCAGGCTGAAGCCAGGACCTGGCTGACCCCCAGCTCCCCAACCTGCCCTGGTGCAGGGGCAATGAACCCAGAGTGGATGGACCTGTGCAGCTCCTGCACAAATGCCTCAACACCAGGAGCTGTTCACGAACACCTCAGGGTCTCCTCGAGGGCTGCTGTAGGCAGCTGAGGGTCCATTATTGCACTTGAGTACAAAACTGATGCAGACAACATCAGGAGTGGCTTTGCCCTGCCTGAGCTGGTCCCCTGCTGGCCCTGGGGAAGGGCAGCAGCCAGAGCCCCTGATCCCACCTCTCTTCTCTCCCTGCAGTGGTTTGGTGCCCCAAGCCCACAGTGCAGAAGGGAAGGATGACTCCAGAGAGGTTCACCTTTCCTTATGGAGTGGTCATGGAGTTCTCCTGTGATGAAGGCTTCAAGCTGCATGGCAGTGCCAGGAGCCAGTGCCTGGCTGATGGCACCTGGCACCCCCCTGTGCCTACCTGCCAGCCAGGTGGGTACCAGAGTGGGCAGATACCCTGCACAGCCCGGGGTGCTGCTCTGTTGTATTACCAACATCGGATTGGAATTTGCAGAGTGTTTTCTCTTCTATCTCCTCCCATTACATTCTTTTCTGATGTGCATTTTCCTTTCAGTTTGTTGTTCCAGACCTTCCTGGGTGGTGGACATAAATGCCTATAAGGAAGGGTATGGGGTGAATGACAAGGCAACCTTCAGATGTGTCTCGAACTCAAAACGTATAGTAACCACCTGCTCAGCTAATGGCACCTGGATACCACCACTCACCTGTGTAAGTACCACCTGCCCAGGTTTTCCTGCCCCATTGCTAGCCTGGAATTGCTTTGGTCCAACCTCATGAAGGTTGTTGCTTAGTCACCCCATGGTGGAGCCTCACGCTGTCTTTGTTTTGGTTCTTTTCAAGGAAAAGAAAGAAGCATGTGAGACAATCCTTAGATATAAAGCAGTTTTTGAGTGTGGAATTCCTCTGACAGAACTGAAAACACTGCTGGAAGTCCAGAAACTCTACCTGGAGATCCAGAAACTTGAAAAGGAGCTAAGAGGCATTGGACGTGGCTGACTGGTGTCACTGGGATTGCAAGAACCATCCTCTGTGTGCTGAAAAATGATGCTGACTAAGGATCTTTTATGGCTTTGTAATTTGTGCTAGTACTTATGTAGCCAGAACAAAATTTAGCAATCAGCCACAGAACAGATTTGGTCACATGAGGAGCCAAAGTGACTTTTGCCTTATTCTGTTAGAGCTCACCAAGTTTTCTTCCCAAGCAGAACGGATGAATCCAAGGCCATGGCAGTGCCACATCTTTGTGTATGCACCAAGAGCAAATAAAAGTGTAAAGAAAGAAATGGGTGATTTTTCTGGGCCATGCAGTGAAGGGGAAGTGCTGTGATAGCCACATGGCTTGTGATGGGACCAGGACTCCATCTCCACGAGATTATGATATAGCTGCAATTGTAGTGACAATTCTGGGCTTTAATAATGCTGCCCTATCTCTAGTAAAGGAAAAAATATATATTATTACTATATATAATGTATGAAGTGTAATAATATTGCTTGATTAGGCATGGAGGATGCTGTTCCCTGAGCACAGGGGGATGGGGAGTGTTTGCACAGCAGCCTGTCCCCCCCTCCACCAGTGGTAAAGGTTCTTCAGAGGTGAGGCCAGGATGCTGCAGAGTGCTTCCAGCTGGAAAAATACCTTTATTCCTTCTATCCCCACGTGGGAAGAAGGCAGAGCAGCCTCTCCTCCAGGTACATCCTTGCTGGAGAGCGTGGGGTGTGCAGCCCTGGCCTGGGGCAGGTCAGAAGGGCTGCAGGGAGGTGGTGTCACTGTGGCCTGTCCACAACTTCCTACAGATGTTTCCCCTTCCCCAGAAGGCTCTCAGCAAGGAGAGAGAGGCTCCTCCTTCCCAGCAGCTCCACACACCATGCCTGTGCTCCTCCACTGGCCAGGGCAGCTCCTGGCACTGCTGCTGCTTGTGCTGCAGCTGCCTGGGAGTCTTGGTGAGTGTCTCTCCTCTCCTTGTTGGCTTTGCTTCTGGGGCTCAGCTTCACTTGTGAGGGTTTGGGAGAGATCATCTAGCACTTTCCAGTGCCTAAAGGGGCTACAAGAAGCTTGGAGAGGGACAGGACAAGGGGGAATGGCCTTAAGCTGAAGGAGGGCAGGTTTAGATTGGGTATTAGGAAGAGATTCTTCCCTGTGAGGGTGCTGAGGTTGCCCAGAGAAGCTGTGGCTGTTCCATCCCTGGGAATGCTCAAGGCTAGATTGGATGGGACTGCAGCAACCTGGGCTGGTGGAAGGTGTCCCTGTCCATGGCAGGGGTGGAATAGATGATCTTTAAGGTCCTTCCAACCCCAACCCGTGTGTGATTCTGTGATTGTTTCTACACTACCAAGGTTGACATTTCACCCCTGGGGCAGCCTAGAGATGTGGTGGAAAGCATTGCCAGGAGACCTGCTGGCTGACCTCAGAACAGAACTGGGAGACTGCTGAGTCATAAATGTCTTTAGGAAGGGGAATAACTTGCAGTTTCTGTCTAGAAATTGATGATTCTTTTAAAAAATAGGCTTTTTGAGAAACTTCTGCAGTGTTCACAGCCTGTCCCAGCACTTCCCTGCAGAGGAAGTGTACACTGCTTTGTTTAATATCTGGGGTTTTTTAACTTCATGATGCTTCTCAGCCCATTTTCCAAATCCAAACATTTCAAACAAGGTGCCAATAGTGAAACTGGAGCCTGGAGGAGACACATCCAAGCACAGAGATGCTTTCCATGGACATGGCACACAGGCAGCATTGCCAGCACTGCCCTGGATAGTGCAGATGTGGGATGCTGCTGGACCTGGCAGTGACCCAGGGTGTTTTTAGCAGAGATTCATTGTCCTACTGACCTGCCAGCACTGCCAGGCATGAGGAAATCCAGTTAGTCACTGCACTCTGTAAGAACAACCCTGAAAACTCTTTTTTTTTTTTTTTTTTTTTTTAAATTGTTTTTAAGTTTAGTCTGATCCACAGAGCTTCAATGTCCAGCCTTTCACATAGCAAATGGTCGGCTGATATCTGCACAGAACTTCAGCTCTGGCAGCTTAGCCACGCTCGAGTGTGATGCTGGGTACATGCCCCTGGGTGCTACCACCACGGTGAGGTGCATGAGCAATGGCAGGTGGTACCCCCACGGGCACCTGCCTGCATCCCAGGTAAGCACAGCTCTCTCTTCTCCTTGCCCTGTCTCCCAGGTGTGTTTGCCTGCTTGTATTTCACTAAAACCAGGTGCAGTGGCCTGAAGTTGTGTCAGGGGAGGGTTAGGTTGGGTATCAGGTGAAGACTCTTCTCCCAGAGGGTGTTTGGGCACTGGGACAGGGTTAGGTTGGATATCAGGACAAGGTTCTTCCCCCAGAGGTGTTTGGGCACTGGAACAGCTCCCCAGGGCAGTGCTCAGAGCCTGGCAGAACTCCAGGAGTGTTTGGCCAACACTCTGAGCACATGATGGGATTGTTGGGGTGTCCTGTGCAGGGACAGCAGTTGAACTTGGTGATTCTGTGGGTCCTCTCCCACTCTGAAGAGTCTGATTCAGTGTTTGTGGGAGGGGGACAGTGGGACACAACACTGTGAGCTGCACTGTCTGGTGTGGGTGTCAGGACACCCTGTGCTCTTCCATTGCCCTGGGTAGTGTGGCAGGGCTGTCCCTTCCTGCAGGGCACCCCAGTGAGATACAACACTGCATGAGACTAAAGATTCTGACTACATTCCCAGCCTTTGATGAATTTCCCCCATTATTTTCCCCTTTCTGTTCACCCCACAGCCACGCTCAGGGTCACTGCCATCCCTTGCTGCTTTCTGGGGTTTCTACCCTTGCCTGTTCCCCCAACACAGGGCTCAGCTTCATCCCTGGGGTTGCTCTGAGGGTCTCTGTTGTCCCCTGCTCTGGCTCCAGGTCGCTGTTCCCACCCTCCTGCTGTCGACTACGCTGACCTAACCTATCGGCACGAGTTTCTAGTTGGGACTACCTTGACCTATTCCTGCAGACATGGGTTCACTTTGATCCCTGGAGTATCACCAACAACCACTTGCCTTAGAAATTTCACGTGGTCTGCAGTCCCAAAGCTTTGCCAACGTAAGTCCAACATTTCCTTTGCTTTGCCAGCAATGCATCCCTTTGTTAGCATCATTTTCAAAACACTTGTGCCATCAGTGCTTTACTGAGCAGCTTTGGCTCTCACTGGTAATAATTTTGCTGTTCAAAGGGTGACGTGGCTGGAAAGGAAGAGCTGCAAGTCCCACTGGTTGTTTAGCTGTTCAAACAGTGATATAGTGACGCAGCTAGTGATATGCCATTCCCTCAGCACAGTTTAGAGCTAATCACAGGGCTCAGATTGTTCTGCCTTCCAAGAGAAATGGTTCTTATCCTATAATTCCCATCCCTGAGCATGACAGGTCTGGGCAGAAGTGTTTGTCAGCATTAAAAGGCCACCTGGCAGATTTGGTAGGTCAGCAAACCACCACTGTGGTTGTGTGAATGTCTCTTTTCTGATGCTGGTGTTCCTCAGAGGTGCAGTGTCCCATCCCAGTTATCCCCCATGGGAGAGAGATCAGCCCCAGGAAAAATGGATACACCTTTGGGCTCCAGGTGGAATTTCGCTGTGACCCTGGCTATGTGCTGAAGGGTAGTGAGAGGACCCAGTGCTCAGCTGATGGGACTTGGAGACCTCCTGTGCCATACTGTGACAAGGGTGAGTGTCAACACTGAGCATTGTGGGGCTGGGAATTGCATCCATGGGTAGGAACAGCAGGGAGAAAATCTCATAACCTGAGCATTGCCTTTTGGAGAAAGGGTTAGGAGAAGGGGCACAAATCACAGCATCAACAGGCTTCAATATTTTCATCTCTTATCAAAATGTAATGGATGAAATGTGTTGATTAATGGACTTGCAGCCCCTTGAGGAGTGTTCAAGGGGTTTGTGATACTCACTATAACCTGTCCCTGGTTATGAGCAGGATTATTTCTCATGGAAAAGAGGTGGGGATGAAGGAAGGTTGTCTGGAGGGGAGGGGGATGCATGCTGGAGTACTGGGGCTGTGCTGACAGGTTGGGTTCCTTAGCTGGGTCAGCCTGGGAACACTGGTAGATGCAAAGCTGGCAAGGAGAGAGAACTTTGAGCAGAGCAACATTTAGAATGAACATCAAGAACCAGCTTCTCCTGTTACTTCCCTGCATCCTGTCTCCCTGATGGAATGAGGAAAATATTGCTTTCCCTTTTATTCTCTCATAGTCTGTGGTCCTCCTCCCAAAATTGCCAACGGGCAGCACTCTGGCTTGGGGACTAAGCAGTTCCCCTATGGCACTGAAGTCAAGTACACCTGTCTGGAGGGTCTGTCCCTCATCGGGGCCGAATCCATCTACTGCACCTCTGATGATGGGGAGAACCTGGTGTGGAGTGGACCTGCCCCAGAGTGCAAAGGTGAGTGGAGGCTCCTGTATGGCACCAGGCTGAAGCCAAGCCCTGGGTGCAGTGTCAGGACTCAGCACAGTGAGGTTACAGTGAGCAGAGCTGCTGGGAGATCCTCCACAGCCTCAACAGCTCCAGAGTGAGGATGATCCATGTGGAAACAAGAGGCACTGGTTGTCCTAACTGGTGGCCACCAGGCTGTCAGGAGGAGCAGCTCTGCCTCACCTGGTTCCTCACTGCTCTCATCTCCACTCTCTCCCTGCAGTGGTTCGGTGCCCCAGGCCCACAGTCAGCAGGGGGAAGATAACTCCACAGAAGTTCTCCTTCCCCTATGGGGTGACTGTGAGTTTCTCCTGTGACGAGGGCTTCGTGCTGCACGGTGCTGCTGAGAGCCAGTGTGTGGCTGATGGCACCTGGAACCCTCCCCTGCCCACCTGCCAGCCAGGTGAGTACCAGCTGGGAGACAAACCTGCAGCCCCTCCCAGTGCACAGAGGTTGGGGTGCTGCAGTGTGTAGCTGTGTCTGTCCTCAATTCTCCCTGAGTGCACTCCTCTCTTGGCAGGACAAATCAGCTTCCCAAAGCTGATGTTTACCAGGCAGTAGTTGTGTTTTTCTTGACAGGTCAGGGCTTCACTGTGTTTCTTTCAGTGCATGGTCTTTCTGCCAAATGTCCATCCCCATCACAGGGATGCCTGAATTGAGACATTGACAGAAAGCAGCAAATTCCTAACACCTCTCCTGGGCTGCTCTGACCCTCTTGATGGGCCTGGGGAAGTAACTTTGCTTTAACCTTTGGTTTAACAGCTCCACAGCTTTGAGTTCCTCTGCACTGGCTCAGCCTTCACAAGCTTCACTGCTTTTTTCTGCCCTTAAATCACTGATCCCCTTGCTGATCTGCCTTCTGCTGTGGGTTTTCCTTTCAGCCCTGTGTCCACAACCACAAGGAGCCTATGGAAGGCTGAAAAACCCTTTGGATACTAAAATGTGGTACCAAACTAATGAGACTCTTACTTTTGAGTGCTTTCATGGATACCAGTTTACAGAGAATAGAAACATCTCTTCAGAAGGCTCTTGGACAGCCACATGTTTGCCTGATGGCAACTGGACAGCATTGCCTAAATGTGTGAGTACCATAGAATCCTAGCATGGTTTGGGTTGGAAGGGATGTCAAAGATCACTCAGTTTCACCCCCTGCCATGGGCAGGGACACATCCCACCAGCACAGGTTGCTCCAAGCTCCATCCAACCTAACCTGGTCTACTCCCAGGGATGGAGCAGCCACAGCTGCTTTAACTTTTTGAAAGCTTTTCCCATGAGGAATTCAGCCCATGTTGGGGCTGTGCTGGGACAGGTCAGCCTTGGAGCTGACAGGTGGGTGGCTCTTCTCCTGCTGCAGTGTGATCTTACGTGTTTGTTTCTGGGTTTTGTCTTTGCCTTTGAACAGAAGAAAGAAGTTGATGCTGAAATATGTGAAGAGGTTCATTACATTCAATCGGTCTTTGACTGTGGTGTGCCCATAGCAGAAGTGAAAACTCTGCTGGAAATACAAAAACTGTTCCTGGAGATTAAAAAACTAAAGGCAGAACTAGAAAACCGAAAGCACTGAGTCCTGCAAACCGTCACCTTTCCTTTGGTGAACACAGTTTGTGCCATCACAGGATGTACAACAAAGTGTTTTCATGGTTTAGGTTTGCTTGCCTAGAGCCAGAAATTTAATCACCAATGTGTTGGAAGTTGCTTTTGTTATGTCAGATACCAGAGCAGGGAGGAACTTAAATCTGACAAGCTTGATTTTTCTCTTTCATAAACATGTTGTCTCACAGTTTATATTAAGAAGCATAATAAGCAATTAAATTGAGCTTTTCTGAGTCGCTGTGTTAACTCTGATAAGCTAAGACAAGGGGAGTGGAACTCACACAAGCTGAGATGAGTGTCCAGAGGTTTGCTCTGAAGGTCCTTCTGCTGTCATCTTCCAGCTGTGGTTGGTGCACATGCTGCACCCTCTGCCTGTACCAAACTCAGCCTCTTGCAGCATTAGCAAACTGCTAGAAATAGTGGTGAAATAAGTGTTTGACCATGTGATCTCCTGTTAATTCAGCTCGTGAGTTCTGTTCATCTAGTCAAGGGCAGCTAATAAGAAGTGCAGTTGGAAAGACTTCTAGTACTTTATCCCTGGATTTAAAACAGGCAACAGGTTTTATCCTTGTGTTGGTGTCATCTTCCACATCCCTATTTCTGGTGAGTGAATTCTGAGAATAGACGTAAGCTCAAGTGTAGGTGGCAAAGAGAGTTCTTATTCCTCAATAAATGCTGAGCAGTTTGTGTGGCTCTGTGATGTGGCTCATCCTTCCCTCTGGGATTGCAGTAAAGGTGGGGGTGATCCATGGGATCTTCTCATCTCTCAGGTTGGCTGTAAATCAGGCAGATTTCCAGTGTGATCCAGAGGTTGTTCTGGTGGAAAGCTGAGCCCTACCAGCTGGGTCAGCCCAGGCTGCTGCCCAGGCTCAGTGGGAGAAGGAGAGGCATCTCCTTCCTGCACAGGCAATTTGCAGCAGTGCATCATTGCCAGATGCATGATTTCATCAGTCACTAAAACTGTTTAAAATGTTATTAGAGCCTAAAGCACAACACCCAGGGGAGGAGAGATGGTGTCTCCCATCTCTTCACAGCTGCATTCTGTGCTTTGCCACACTCTGGTGAGGAGATCTTCAGCCAGAGATGCTCTCAGATCTGCTCCACTTCTCCCTGACCACGAGGGGAGCAGAGCTGCACTCTCCTGGTGTGACACTTTGCTCCCCTCCACGCTGAGCTCACCTGGGACTGCACACTGGTGCCTTATCTCCCTGTGCAAGGCTGGAGAGGGAGAACAGGAGTTGGGTGTTACATCCTGAGTGTGTTTGAGCAGTCCGGATTGATGTCAGATGGAGACGTCAGAGGGTAGGTCAGGGCTCCGACTCAGTTGCTCAGACCTGTTCCTCATTACAAATGAGTCAGGCAATCATGAAAAAGTTAGCAAACAAAAAGGAAAACGCTATTATTTGCTTCACTGACTTTGCTTATGGAAGATCTCTGGTGCATTACCTGCCAGCAAATAACTGAGCAGGGATTTTCCTACCCTGGACACAGTTTGGGGCTGGGAGGGGGTATTTTCTGCTCTGGGAGCATGTGGGTTTTGGTAAAACTGTGCCAGTCAGTGCTCATTGCCAGCCCCAGGACAAATAAAAGGGTTGAGTTATTCCCCCATCCCTCACAGTGGTGCAGGAGGGTCAGGAGGTCTGTGGATGACAACTATCCTCCACCCTGTGTGCTCTTTGTGTCCATGCTGGAGGGTTTAGCTCCGTGGGTGTTCTGGAAAGGTTTCCCCTGCTCCAAAAGCTTGGTGGAGTCTGCTGCATTGCATCTCCTCCCAGCTTTGGAAGCAGCCCTTGGAGTCAACAGTGCTTGACAGAGGAGCACAGGAATTGCAGCAATGAAGTCTGGAGGAGCAGGACAGGGGAGGCACCAAGGCACCCTGAGCTGTGGGACACCCACCAGGGCATGGGGGTTCAGCTTCTCTGCTCTGCTCCTGGTCTTCCTGGTCCTCCTTGGCATGCCTGTGGCTCGTGGTGAGTATGGGGCCATGGGATGCATGGGGAGGACCAGTGAGACCTGCCTGGATCTCACCTTGCTGCTCAGGGCCTGAGGTGGGTGATGCCACCACCCCCAAGCCTGGGGACCCAGTGCTTGATGCTCTCACAGGTGCAGCCCAGTCTGGTGCCTTTGTCTGCAGGGCAATCCTGGGCCATCCCAACCATCATCCTGAGATGCATCGCCATCCCATCCTGGAATGCTCACTGGGGCTGGGGAAGGTCCTTTCCCAAGGAGGTTTTCTCCTGCTGCAGGTGACTGTGGGCCCCCACCTCGCATGACCTACTCCAGACCATCCAGTGATGAGGATGTCAGCAGCTTCCCCGTGGGGTCCAGAGTGACATACACATGCATCGAGGGCACCCTCAAAATCCCAGGGCTGTCAGACACTGTGGAGTGCCTCCCTGGTGACATCTGGTCCAGGCTGCCCGAGCCCTGTGGCCGTAAATACCTCTTTTCTCTCTTGCTTGCCTTGAAATTCCCATCCCTTCTAGTGGCTGCTCCGTGCATGGTCCCTCCTGGCAAGGGACAAACCCACTCCCCTTTGCTGCTGCACAGTGCTGCCAATGGGTGCAGGGCTGTGCCTCTGCAGGAGGGGTCAGTTGGAGTGGAGCTGCAGCCTGGGGTGCTCTGTACCCCCAACTCTGTGCTGTCTCCATGCATGAAGCTCCTGATGTCCTACTAACAGCTCCCCCTGGGCATTTAACACCTCTCCATCCACACTTTGGTGTGTCCAGGAGAGCAGCCTGGTCAGGAAACTGAATTAACCTGCAATGAGCATGAGGAGCTTTCCAAAATCACAGCAGTGAGGGCATACCTGTGATCCCCAGGGGTTTTGCATGCTCCCCTTGAGCAGCTCTTTCAGGTCAACTTCTCCTGACTCCAGGGAGCTGCACTGCCCCGACCAGGCTGAGGTTTGCTGCCCTGTCCAAGAAGGATGAGGTGGTTAATTTCTTTCCTGTTGGGACCAACGTGAGCTACGTGTGTCGCCCTGGCTACGAGAACACCTCGGAGAGTTCTCCCACCAGCACTTGCCTTGAGAACCTGACGTGGTCAGAAGTGGCTGAGCTCTGCAGGAGTGAGTATCTCTGCTCTGCTCCACTCCCCTAAAAGCAGAGTTCAGAGCAGGTAGGGTGGCTGCTCCCAACCTGCATCCCAAAATGCAGCCCCATCATTATTGTCCCAATGAATCCATCAATTCCAAATTAGGTGGATATTCCTTGACATTCCTATTTAACACTGAACAGCACAAGCAGCAGAAGTATCAATGATATTCTTCTTTTTTTTTTCTGCTGGCATAAACAGATCTGATTTGATTTCATGAGAAGAAACATTTGGTTGGACTCAATGATCTTAGAGGTCTTTTCCAACCTTAACGATTCTGTGATCCTCAATATGTTTGCATGGGGATGTGGCACATGCACAGGACAAATCCCACTTTGCAGTTCCAGCAATGAACTTCAAACTAAAGACAAAGCATGTCTCTTGGTGAAATCCATGGGATATTAAGGCTGATGATGTGGCAGCAATACATTTTTCACAGTTGAGTAACTTACTGCCAGTCCATTGAGATGGAAACATCTCGACAAATGTTCTCTGTGAGATGCTCATGGCTGTGAACGTGGAGCCTTCCAGGATCCACACCTACAGCTGCCTCTGGCTCCTGCCACTGAGCTGTGATGCCTGGGAAGCAAAATGCTTTGGAACCTTTGGGTATAACCCTCTGAGTCTGTCCCCTATTCAGCCTGTTTGATTCCCCCATCGCTGTGTCCCCTGCAGGGAGGTCCTGTGGTGCCCCAGGAGCTCTGGCTGGGGGCAGGATGGTGCCCCTCACAGACCTGCAGTTGGGTGCAAGAGTGAATGTGTTCTGCGAGGATGGGTGAGTGGTGGGCACTGCCCCACACCAGTGCTGATGATCCTGGGGCACAAACTCTTCCAGTGCATGGAGTGGACATAGGCAGGGCTGTTATTTCCCAACATCATTCCCACGGTGCTCATAGCATGACACTGCTTTTGCCACTGGAATTATTCCTTTGGGAAGGAATAAGACACAGCTGGAGGGAAAGAACCAGGGTATGAATTTATGGCTGCATTTTCCTGCCAGTGCCATCCAGAGGAAGCTCAGCTGTTCCAGGATGTCTATCCCAACAGGGCTGGTTGTACTGTCAGTTTATAACTATAGACTTCAAAACAAGTTACTGAAAATATTTCAGCTGAAGACATTTGAGATCTATTGAATAACAAGGGAAATTTTTTAATCTGATTATTTTCAGCTGGAAAACTGCAGTGAAACACAGTTTCCATCAGGCAGGGAGCTGATTCATGCTGCTGCTTGCTTTCAGTCAGGGCCTATATGTACTGGACTGACCTACAAAATTCAGCTGTTGCCACTCCAGTTACTATTCCTCCCACCCTACAGGGACTATTTGGCATCATCTGGCTTGTTCTGCTAGTCTTCAAGTGTAACAGAGAGTATTTTCCTCTCCCTTGGGATGGACATGGAAGAAATGACAGCATGTCCCACCCTTCTGGGGTTCAGCTCATCTTTGGAAATCCATATCAGGGTGGAGGGATAATGATATTCATCTAAGCAAGAGTGGATACTATCAGTGCTGTCCAAACAATGAGGTTTTTTGAGCAGGAGGATGTAAATCAGAGATGGGGGAAGGTGTCAGCTGTCAGAACAAGATGTATGAGCTTCCAGCAAGACAATCCAAAAACCACTTTAGTTAAATGTAGATGATCCCTGTTGCCCCTCACTGGTCCCTGCTGCATGCAGTGGATGCATTTGAATCATAGAATCATGAAATTGTTTGGGTTGGAAGGACCTTAAAATCATCCAGTCCCACCCCCTGCCATGGGCAGGGACACCTTCCACCAGCACATGTTGCCCCAAGCCCCATCCAACCTGGTCTGGAACACTTCCAGGGATGGAGAGTAGTCCACAGCCTCTCTGGGCAGAGCATATTTTCAGAAACC